AGCACCCTGAGTGGGTGAATGCCCTGCCCCACGCCTCCAAGAAGTGCCCCCACAAAAGGCCCTTGGTGTGACGAAGGCAGAGCCTCACAGAGGACCAGCAGCCATGCATGGGAGGTGGCTGAGGGGAGGTAGCCACAAAGGGGCAGCTGCTGCTGCTGCCACCCTGGGGACATCAGCTGACTCAGCCCAACAGGCTGATGGGGGGATGCCACCTCCAGCCTGGTGTTTATTCAGGCGGTCAACAGGCTTTGCTGTTCCCATGAGGGAAATAAACTATATAGCCCCTCTGGGTTTTCAGAGCTGGCCTGCCTCAAACCCTCCTCTCTGAAAATCCAGCCTCGCTGGAATCAGAAAGGGGATTGGAGACCATAAATCAATGGGTAGGGAACCCCTGGGGCCCTGTGGGCAGGAGGCAGGAGTTGCACCTGGGGGCTGCTGTGACCTCCCAGAGAGTGCTGCACCGGAAGCTCACACTTGGGGGTGCTCAGGAGGAATCAGAGGGTAGCCTTTCACATAATAAAGACACTCCCCCCCCCCGCCCCGTGCCCCACCATCCCAAGCACTCCAAGATATCAGCGTGGTTGGGTGGAGTCCTGGGGCTGTTGCCGGGCAGTGGGTCTGAACACAACTCAGCCCCCTCGGAGTGCTGTCCCTGGCCTTGGTGAAGGGTCAGTACTGGCCTTTGCTGCATCACACTGATTTAGTTTCCCACAATTCTTTTCTCTGGTTGGCGGTTTCTCATGTCTTGGTCTGTTGCTTACTTCCTCATGGAAGGTGATCTTCCCCAAGTGGGATCCCGGTCCTCAGCATCCGTGAGCGAACAGAGAGGTCACACAGCTGGCCTCTGAACTGCCAGGCTTTGTTCCCCGTCTTAGAATAAGAAGCCATGGAAGGGACCGCTGCTCTATGCTGGTTCGTGAGGATGCCAGAGACCAGGAACCTTCCTGCTCTCACCCAGGAAGACTGTGCCTGTCCCAGCTTCTTCCCTGTTGCTGGAGGGCTTCTCTCCAGGTTCCCCAAGCCCCGCAGTCCCACAATCCACTTATAAAATAATCACTCAGACGCTTATATTACTTATAAACTGTATGGCCGTGGCAGGCTTCTTGTTAACTGTTCTTTTATTTTTAAATTAACCCATTTTTATAAATCTATACCTTACCACGTGGCTGGTGGCTTACCAGAGTCTTTACATGCTGCTTGTCATGGCGGTGGCTGCAGTGTCTCCCTCCTCAGCCTTCCTCTTCCCAGAATTTTCCTCTTTCCTTGTCTGTTGCTTACTTCCTCATGGAAGGTGATCTTCCCCAGGTGGGATCCCGGTCCTCAGCATCCATGAGCTAACAGAGAGGTCACACAGCTGGCCTCTGAACTGCCAGGCTTTGTTCCCTGTCTTAGAATAAGAAGCCATGGAAGGGACCGCTGCTCTATGCTGGTTCGTGAGGATGCCAGAGACCAGGACCCTTCCTGCTCTCACCCAGGAAGACTGTGCCTGTCCCAGCTTCTTCCCTGCTTCTGTTTACCGGCTACCTCAAACTTCTATTTAAAGGCAGCATTTCTCAAACTCCAGTGTGGATTCAGTACACCCGAAGATTTGGGGGAAATGTAGGTTCTGATCCTGCAGGTCTGGGAAGGGCCTGGGAGTGGACTTTTCTGGCCAGCTCCTGCCTAGTGCTGATGGTACCGGCCTGTTGTCCATACTTGGAATAATGAGGATCTGAGGGAGTCCAGCATCCTGAGTTGCTCTGCAGATACATGACTTTTCATGCATCTGAAAGCAAATTACAAGGATGCTCCGGTATCTTTAAAGCACTTGGTAGGGTTGGCTGGGCTGGCCGAGCACCCTTAGCGGTCCAGTAAGTGAACTTCAGGAGCAAAGGTCAGGGGGCTGGCTGATGAGTCAGCTCTGCCAGATTTTTATTTTTATTTTTTATTACTGTGTGTGTGAGTAATATGTGTTTGTATGCCATAGCACACATGCAGAGGATAACTGTGGAGTCAGTTCTCTCCTTCCAACTTTATGTGGGTTCTGGGAATTAAACTTAGGTCTCCAGGCTTTTGAAGCAAATGCCTTTACCCTCAGAGCCTTCTTACTAGTCCTCTACCAGTTTTTTTTTAAATGACATTTGGCAAATTGCATCCCGACTGTAGGCCTCGGCAACTTCTCTGTACTAGGAAAGGCTAGGCCTGAGTGTTGGGGTCCGTTCCAATGTTGATGCTATGAACAGTAACTGCCTAGTTTATCCCTGTGCAGTCAGATGTATCGATCCATTCAATCCTCATAACCATGCCTTGGGAGCCTGCTGGTGCTGCCAACTAATGGGAAATGGATGCGGAGGGAGTTTAAATGATTTGCCTGAGATCACAGAGCTAGGAATAGCAGCGGTGAGGTGTAAGCTGGACAGCCTCCTCCATAATCTATGACTTTAACCGCTGTACCCCTGAAAGCCTGTCAGGAAAGGCCACACACCCTCGTTCGTGGTGAGTTCTCCAAACCAGACCCCTCTCTCATGGACTGTAGCTTTCACAGCTAATCCTGTGTGACTTAGAGTCTGACTTGAGCTAAGCTGTAGAGAACAGGGCGAGCTCTTCTAGAGATCAACATGGAATGCCCTTTGAATGCTGTGCTGTGCTGACCATTCTGGAGTCTGGAAAGTTTGACAAGAATCTACTGGCCTCCCCTGGGCAGCCCTCGTAGGAGCCCTGGAGCCACAGTGTCTGGGTGTCACCATCTTCTTGGATATATGAACATCACCTTGGCGATGAGCCACCCAGGCTCCCTCCTAGGACTTGAGTAGCATCGTTACAAGCTGCAGGGCTGTGCTTTGGGAAACCTCTAAGCTTTTGTACACTTTGCATTTTAGTCTGGTAAAGTGTGGAGAGCAAATACATCTTCTCTTTTACTTGGTTTCTTCCTCCGCCAACCTCATCAACTTAAAAAAAAAGAGGTCCCAAAGGTGAACACATCTGACATCTAATTTTAATTGATTTTGTGAGCACGTGGTACTGGGAGTTGAACCAAGGACCTCACACATGCTAGGCAAGTATTCTACTACAGGCTACGTCCTCAGCTCTTTTTGTGTCCTTTATTTTGACAGTAAGTTGCCAGAGCTTGAGCCCACTCTGGATCCCAAGCTGGCTTTGAGTCTGCTCTGGATCCCAGGCTGGCCTGAAGTCTGCTCTGGATCCCAGGCTGGCCTTGAATTTGCTCTGGATCCCAGGCTGGCCTTGAGTTTGCTCTGGATCCCAGGCTGGCCTTGAACTTACAGTCTTTCTGTTTCAACCTCTTTTGTAACTGGGACTATAGGCCTGAGCCACCAACCCTTTATTTATTTTCAGAGCTGAGGATGGAACCTAGGACCTCATGAAAGATAGACAAGGCTTCTACTACCGAGCTACACCCCCAACCCTGCCTTTAAAGAACCTTCTATTTATGTATTTGTGTATGGGGGTCAGGCACAGGTGCACACACACTTGCAGACATGCTCACATGTCACATGTATGTGAAGGCTGGAGGACAGCATGCAGTGGTTGGTTCTCTTCTTCCACCATGTCCAGAAATTGAACTCAAGTCCTCACTCTTGGTGGCAAGCACCCTTTCTTTCTTTCTTTCTTTCTTTCTTTCTTTCTTTCTTTCTTTCTTTCTTTCTTTCTTTCTTT